CAGGGAAACCTTAGCAGCTGTGGAGGTATGAGGGGTTTCCTTGAACCTGGTTGGAAATGCAAAGGAGCTAAGTAATTGGTACTGTGGTCTGCATGAGAAGGAGAAAGCTGCAAATATCAAAAGAAAGAGTTTTCGGAAAATCCCTGCGGGGGGGGGGCGCATTTCTTGGAAAGGCAGGCTGGACAGTGTGAGCAAAGGAAACTGCCCCTGTTTGATCCTACCATGCCCAGGGAAACAGGGTCCTCTGGTTTCTGATGAATAAACAGGACAGCACCAAAGAACACTTGCTTCAGCAACAATTTCTCTGCCTAATGGAAACACCAGCAAAGCCTTATGTGGCAGTTAACTGCTCAGGTCAAACAGTGCATTCTTCAAAGGCTTCACTTGCAGTGCTGGCTCCAATTTTTAAAAAATCGTGTATTCTGTTACCCAGTAGGCAACTTCAGCCACTGGATCACTGCAGGGACCATCTTGCCTAGGATTCCTTTCCTTATAAAGTCTCCTTGTCTTCCTCCAGGCTGGACAGACAAATCAACAGCAGCTGGCAATGGTGCTGCAAGCTTAGGTGGAGTTTAAACCCCTCTGAGCTGAAACAAATTGAAAAGGAGAGCCCAGCCCTTGAAAGGCCAAACACAAGCAAAGTGAGAGCTTCCTCAGCCAAAGCTGTGGTGCACAAGGAGACTGGCTTCAGGCAAATTTCAAGCACCTTCTAAGGAGAAAGGAAGGAGGAAGCATGCTGTCAGCTGCATACTTGCTCCTAGAGATCCTGCCACTCCAGCCCTCAGCACCTCATACAGAGCCAACCAAGTATCCCTCAGGGTGCTGCACCCCACACTTTGGAGAATGCAGCCTTCCATTACTAGGGCTAACGGAGGGAAGCAGGGAGAGGACTGAATACATCCATACATCTAGCCTGGCCCAGCCCTGCTCCTCCCAATACAAGCGCCCACACTTAGGTGTAGTCAACAACCAATGTAAAATAGATTAACTCCCTCCCTGCCAACCTGCACATACCTCACTCTGAGGCCTTCCCTGCTATGTAACAGTTTGCTGTTGCAATGAATGTAGCTATGGGTTTGCTTCTATCAGCAGACTTGGTGGCAGAAAAACATCCATCAGCAGTCAGAGCTCCTGTTTCTGCACCCGCTGCAGTGGAACCCTTCCTAGCAGAGGTTATTTTATTACAATATACTGTATTGATTCTAAGCCAACCCTGAGTTTTCAGGTTCTGTTTTAGGAAAACGAATCTTTCGCCCTGAATATAAATTAATAACTACAGGCAAATTCCTTCAACTGCTACTGCAATCCCAAAATCCAACAGAATCAAATAACCAAGCAAAGGATCCATAGGGTTAAATGCACTGAAATGCTAAAATAAAAACTGCATAGAAAAAAAGCTGATTTAGTATCTTTATTGTATGCACTGCAAGTACAAAGGTCTAGACTGTCAAGGGCCTGATTACATGCCAACCATGTGGATAACTGGAGCGCAATTGTATGGCTCTTTTGGAGGGAAAAAAGGAGGCATCACAGGCTCCCGAGGGCAGGGGTACAGTGGAATTCTTGTTAGAGCTACTCACAGCAATCTGCACAACACAGGACCTTGAGGCAGGGGTGGCCCAAAATGTTGGGCTTCCACTACATCCCCTGCTTCAGGGATGGATTGGATTCCCCTTAGGAACACAGGGCCTGGGCTGGCCAGTTTCCTGAGTCATCTCACCCCTGCCCTTGAGAGCCAGAGCACTTGCATTAAAGGGAGGAAGGAGTTATCTAACTCCCAGACTTAGCACCCCTATGTCAGCTTGGAATGGAGTATCTCAGCACAGCACAAAGAAGACTTTAGTCTGTACTAGCTTTTGACCAGCCTACTTCACTGCAATCCACCCTTAGAAAAGGCGCGGTATGCACAGACAGAGTTCCAGAATGCATGGAGAGGCCCCTAGTGGGGACCTGAGGGATTAAACACTCATTTGAGCATTAAATATGAAAAAAACACTATTGCTCTGGCATTACTTTATTTAAATCTGCAGACATTTCACTAAATAAAATACGTGGGTAGCATTAACTGTACAGAGACAAAGACAATAACAACAATTGTTCCTTACTCCCTCACCACATGCACACTAATTTTTCTTTTCCTGAACCTGCTTTCACCTTCCTGGCACAGCCTGTCTTCTGGGGGACACAAGGGAAAAATGAAGCCTTGAAGCAAGCTTTGCAATCAAGGATGGGTTAGAACAAAGAAAGAAGTACATTCTAGGGCTGCTCCCAAGGGAAAAAAGGGGGTAAATACTGAGCTCCTTTGTTAAACAGGGAACCTTTCAAAGTAAAAGACACAATATTTAAAAACACAAGCAGCAAGGAACTCTCTCATGCATTGCACAGTTGACCTACAGAACTCACTGCCACAAGATATTACTGGGGCCAAGAGCTTAACAGTATTCTCAACAAAATATTATGCGTGGAGCGGGGGAATGGAAATATCCACAGTGGCATGAAACAAACTTTAACACATTAAAAAGAGAGAAAGAGAAACTCCTCAAACTTCAGGGCATGAGCTACCTGCCAACTAGAAGACCCAGTGAGAAACTTCCCCTATGAGCAGGCTACTCCATAACTATTCACCTTGGGGCTTCTTGCACCTAGGTTTGAAGCTGCTGGTACCAGACACTGTCAGCATCTGGATACCGACTAGATGGTCCCAAGTATGTTCTACTCTTCCAATTATGGTGTAACTCTGGAGAGCTTGAAAACTACCTCCTCCTACCATCTGCTATTGGGAAAGACCAATATTGAGATGTTCAAAATCCATATCTGAACAATGGGGCATGATACTAATACTCTTTATATAGACTGGGGGCCTGATCCTCGACTGCTGACTCCAATAAGACTCCCAGTCAGGTCAATCTCTGTCTTAGGTTTCCTACATCTGTCTCAATGGGATGTAAACATGGAAATTCAGGGTATTTTGTCTCTACTCAGGGCAGGATTGTTCCCCAAATGAGCCAAGAAGCAGTTAAAGAACCAGCAGACATTAGAAGGCAGAGATGACCTGGCCCCTTGGATTAACTGCTTAGTAGCATTGTAACTACTTCAGGGAATACTACAGAAGCATACTGTAAAACTACTGTTTATTCAGTAAAAACTAAAAGAATTGGGGTGCACCTGTCAGTCTCCATTTATTTACTCATCCTTCTAGATATATGACATGGAGCATACATTCTTTAGCAATGGTGAGAAGATGACTATTTTGATGGAGATAGAGCCTCTAACTAGAACCGAGTCATTTAGAACTGGGAATGGCAGTGAGGAAATCTTGGAAATACATGACTTTAAAAATGTAAGTACAATTGTTTTTTGCTAAAGCATCTACAGCTGAACAACTAGAAAGCACAGGGGCGGGTCACAACACAGGAGTGCTTTTATCTCTGTACCATTAGTTTGAATGCAGCATAACTTAAAAAGTTACTTCCTAACACAAGGGTGGGCAAAATGTGGCCCATGGGCCAGATGTGGCCCACCAAGCCATTCTGTCTGGCCCGTGGGCCCCCTAAAAATGTAGTAAATTAATATTTATCTGCCCCTGGCTGCCTGTCATGCGGCCCTCAATGGCTTGCCAAAACTCAGTAAGCAGCCCGCTGCCCGAAATAATTGCCCGCCCCTATAACAGTATGACCATCAGATGGTTTCTTTCAGTAACCTGTGGTTTTGGCCCAGTTTCTTATAAGCAAAAGTAATTGGTGCTCTGGTCCCAGTGACATGAGAAAAATCAAATGGGCTTCCCCATGTACTGTAGCCCTCCTGCACTGGGTATTAAACTTCAGGGCTGGGCTAGACAGTATTGGATGGGGGACCTCCAAGGATAAGATTTGGGATCTAGAGACCTTTATCCTCATGTATTTTGAAATAACTGATGAATAACCCTGAGGGGTAGATATAACTACTCCATTAGACAGAGGGAGAAACTGGGGCAGGGACAGGCTTAAATGACCTGCCCAACATCACAGAGAAGATCAAAGCTAGAAACAGAATCCAAGTCTTCCATTACTTTCATTGCCAGAGCAAGCTCTCAGGGACTTTAACCACTGCTTCCTCTTCATAATCATATTGTTCCCCCCAGGTGAATTCTTTCCAAGGCATAATTATTCTTCACTAACTGGCGAAGGATTCAATTTCACTGGGGCTACTTGGATGCTTAAAATGAAGCACATACTTAAGGACTTTGTTGGATTACTGTATATCCAATGTTCAGTGTTCAGTAAAATCAAACCCTAAGAGCAGTCCTGGATTGTTGCTTCCATAAGCCCTATGGTGGCTGCACTTGCTAAGACTGGGAAAACTAATTATACTTTGGACAGTGACATACAATATCCATGAGAAATAACATACAGTAAAATCTCCATCTGCTAGTCTAGCAGAAATTGAAGGCTAGATGCCCATAGATTTATAATGGCCATATTATAGTCTGCATGCATTTACTTATGACCACTAGAGCAGGTGACAGTTATATGGACCAGAGGATTGGAACAGAATTTTATGAATCCCTGCCTTTAGCCATTTGTAACTAGCCCTATTCTCCAAACCCACATATTGCAACATCCCTTAGAAAAAAATCTTTGGTACTTCTTAGAACCATTGCTGGACAGAATCCTGACAAAAGAGTGAATAATCAATTACATTTTTATGCTGCTATTTAAGCTTTTGTATTTCCTTCACTTGACAGTCTGTGTGTATGTGGCTGTTATTGCTTTAGGGAATAACTGGCATCTTTTTTGTGGGACTACAAAAATGCCTCATCAAAACTCAGACTAAAGTAATACCTGAAACTACAGAGGCCGAGATACAGGAACTTGAGGTATGTAAATAAAATATTATAAAAATCTGCATAAGCTACTCCATGTGAAACTAACTTTGACAAATTTCTCTGGAAAATAGACTAGTATTCTCACTGGAACTCCATCTTCTCCATCCTTCCCTATGAATTTGCTACTAAAACGTATGAGCACTGTGATGGTTTTATAAAGGTATCTTGTTACAGAGGCTTGTTGGAAAAATGAACAATTCAAAGATTGGATTAGACAGAAGACAGACAAAAATCCCCCTCAGCACAATACCAAAGACTGAGAACAATAATCCTGTTGTAGTCAAAAGGCCACAAGACAGCTCAAGACTAGCAGACACCAAGAATCAATCGAATCAGTTTTCCAATAAGGATCTGCCTTGCTCTCTCTAAAGGACTTATGCAAAATATGTGAATTAAAAAAGCAGCCACATTTAGGAAATGTGATTCAGGAAAGCACTTAAGCACAGACAGAAATCTCACAGAAGCCAGCAGAACTTCAACATGTGCTTAAAATTAAGCATGTACAGAAGTACTTTTCTAAATCACAGCCTAATTCCTGAGGGACCCTCCTTCTAAAGCTTCAGAAACAGATTTGTTGGTTGTTTCATGAGACTCTAATAGAGCTTTTGCGTTCTCATCATAAAAAAAATGACTTTACCTTTAACAAGACATTAATCGGGATAGAGAACGGAGGTGCAAAACCCAAGGAGATAAATTTAGACATAAGGTCTAGCAACATTTTTACTAGAACTCTACCTGGCTTTTGAAGAGGAAGAGCACACATGCAAATGCTGAGCAGACAGCCTTCCTTCCCCCCCACTCTCCAAAGTTTCTGCATCATCCTTTGGCAGCTGGTGATGCACAGTTTGCAGCAACAGAGGGAGAAGAAAGCCATTGAGAAGGTGAGACAGTGCGGCACCAACCAAATCATGGATCAGTGCCCCATGCTTACTTTCCTGTTTGTAGGGCATTTAGTATTTCTGAAAACTAAAACTGGGACTTACAGGCCACTTTAGACACAGAATAGGATTCAGGATGAACCATAAATAGATAAATAGATTGCAAATCCCAAGGTGCAGTGAAAAGGGCCATGGAGTAGGAGTTAATACATTTACAGTACAACCCGAAATCTCAGTTAGGCTTATCAGAAGAATGTCCTCCCAATACACTCAAGAAATGGCACAGACAGGGACTCTTTTGGTCAAGACATTGTATCCAGCCCAAATGGGGGGGCACAGTTTGAAGGAGGGGAAGGGTGGGCAGGGGATGCAATTTGAAAGATGATGCCAGTAAGCTTCTGGAAAACTCCATGCACTTTGGGACTGTGTAACAGCTCTGAGTAGACAATGCACTATATGGCTACAAGCAGCAGCACAAAAGTACACTGCATGTAAATAGAAATCCAGTTTCTGGAGCCCAAATGGAATCCCTTTATTACTGCACAAACTCTGTGCATGAAACTCAGCCCACTAAATACCCTTTCAGTGGGGAAAAATCTCCAAGGCCTGAAAAATTTTACAGTAGAATTCAGGTGTGCCGAACAGGACACCATGCCTACCATGCAAAATGGATAAAGAATCCATTTTTTATTGTGTTCAGTTTTCCAGGAAGATGTAGGTTTTCATGCTTAATCTGACCTTGGAGGTGATGCCCTGCCACAGCCAGCATCCTGGTCCTCATCTCTGCTTCTTTAGGAACCAGTCTCTCTCAATACCCTGGGAGCCAGATCAGACCCTTATTCCTTAGCTAATGGTAAGTCATCACCAAGGGAGACACATGTCTGGTGTGCAGTGCCACTGCATTTCTCCGCAGACAAAACAAGCAATGGCCATGGCAGATTACAAATGTTACCAGCATGGTCAAGGATCAATGCTTGGGTTTGCAGTCCACTCCAAATCAGGGCTGTGTAAGGACTGATACTGTCCCAGAAGTAGTTGAGCATATCCAATCATTCATGCATTTAACTGCACAACCTCCCTGCATTATAGGGAAGTGCTGTTTTCCAAATAGACACTGATGAGAGTAACAGTTAATGCACATTAAATCTAATACCTCCATTGTGAGGTACTAAAAAATGTGCATTGGCCTGGCTTAATGCTCATTAACTAATGTGCACACTTTTTAAGTGACATTAAATGTGCATCAGCCTATTGTAATGTGCATTAAGTAAAAAGCACAGCGTTTTTTTACATGATGCTTTAATGCACAGTAAAATAGAATCATAGAATCAATGAGTCGGAAGGGACCTAGACAGATCATCTAGTCCGAACCCCTGCCATGGGCAGGAAGGACCATGGGGGTGGGAGGGGTCATAAGACCCCAGCCAGGTGCCTGTCCAGTCTCCTCTTGAAGATTTCCAGGGAAGGTGAGAGCACCACCTTTCTGGGAAGCCTATTCCAGGCTCTGGCCACCCTTACTGTGAAGTAGTTTTACTGCTTAATAGGTAAATGTGCATTAAAGCACACATGTAGACATGCCCTAAGTGACTTTCTCCAGGTGCTGAAGGAAATGTGTAGTAGAGCAGGGAACTGAACCCAGTATCCCCAGGTCCCCATCCACTAGACCGGGGTGGACAAAATGCAACTTGTGGGCTGGATGCGGCTCACCAGGCCATTCTATCCGGCCTGCGGAGCCCCTAAAAATGTAGTAAATTAATATTTATCTGTCCCTGGCTGCCTGTCATGCGGCCCTTGATGGCTTGCAAAACTCAGTAAGCGGCCTTCTGCCCAAAATAATTGCCCACCCCTGCACTAGACCATCTTTTCTAATATCACGCCACCCAACACAGGATCCATCACCGATGTTACGAAGGTTTAGAGAGGCTTTAAACTTTTTTATTGGAAATATATAGTTTTATTTCTCCTTCAACAAGGCCAGGTTCTTTTATGATCAACAATAATGATAACCATTAAAATCATTATAAAAAAAGTATGCTGCACATTAAAACATCACGTTTTTCAGGTCTGGTGTCCTCAGCACTTCCATATCTGTAAGTGAAGGCTAAGCATTTCCATTAGGAAAAGGAAAGTCACAGGCAGGCCTTTGTAGTATAATATAGTCAAATATTGGACCTTGGACCTGCTTAATATTGCTTACACTGAACCTTGAGCACATGTAGAGATGTGGAGGAAGGTGAAAGGAGGAAAAAATTCTCTCAAAGCTGTTTGAAACTGCTTCCAGATTTATAATGCATGGAACACTTTTCAGAGTTGGATTAGCTGGCAGCAGGCAGGAGGTACACTAGAATTCATTACATGGGCCTCAATTTGGTTGAAGGAAGTGAAACCTTTTTTTTATTCTATAACAAGACTTTTCAGTTAAATGGAAATTTTAATGGAAAAAAAAGTCAGGTAGTCCTCAAATACTGTCAAATGGAATGTTTTCTTTTGAGTTTTGCCAAAAAATAGTTTTTAGTTATTTAGATAATGTTTGGTGGTAACCAAAAGATTTAAAAAATATTCTACACAAATTAAACACCTTCACAAAACATATTTAATATTTAAAAATCAGTTTTCCAAGTAGCTCTATATTTGTTCATTAATTTACTTTTTAGATACCACAAACATGCAGAAGTAGCACACCAGGGTTCTCCATATACACTGCAGTTTGCTCAGTGCAGTCCAATCCAATAATCTTTTTATATCATCTTTCATAAAATCTGAATGCCAAAAAACATTACCAAGCAATGTAATATAGGGGATGTGTACATTACACAAATCAGAGCTGCAAAGGAATCATGCAAGGAATAAATTAGCACTTGATCACAAAATCAGGAACAGAAGGAGAGAGAAATTAAGAGGTACAAGCAAGAAGAAAGCAGATGTTTTAATCTGAAGTTTGAAATGAGTTGGAGAAGTGATGAGGTGGAGGGAGGCAACTTCTTTCAGATGGCAGGAGGAGAAGGCTTTGGAAGTGAGATTCTGCAGGGGAGAGGTAGGGGGAGAAACTAGTACTGGACAAACAAAGGAAGTACAGAAAGCAACTAATTTGCTAACTCTCATTCAAATCAGGAACAACTCCACTGGAATTAGTTGGCATTACACCAGCAAAAGACCTAAGGTCAAAATTTGCCTATGAAACACAGTGGACAAAATTCTAGAGCTTTAAAAGCACAGTGCAACCTCTGAACTGCTCTAACTGGTTGAGGCAGAAGCAAGGGAACCTAAGGAGTTTTAGAAGGGGCATGAGGGTTAAAATCCAATATGCCAAATTGAAATCACATTCATTTTTCAGGGAAATGTCATTACAACAACCTACTTTGAGCAATCCATGGTCTGGATTCCAGGAGAAAAACCTATTGAAAACAAAGAGTTCCTAAAGAACTCCAAAATTTTTGACATTTGCAAGAATGTAACCATACACTGGATCCACCCAACTTTGATAACAGGTAAAATAGTCCATTTCATCCTTCCTGCAGCATGTCCCCCAAGCTGCAAATGCCTTAACCTACCCCTCTCTCCAGGAACAGCACTGTCTAGTCAACAACCTGTACTTGTCTTCCCTTCCTGAAGTCTTGCATGCTAAGACCTGGCATGGAAAAAGTTTTCACAGATGAGTTGCAAATCACATAAATGAATATAGACAGGTCCTTTGTTACAGCCATGACAAATCAACCACTGTTAGAGCTTGTCAGGCCTTTTGCCTGCAAAAATCCGATCTGTCTTTCATTAACAGCCCTCCACCACCCTGCCTTCTGTGGAATGGGTTCAAACATAACAAAAAAAAAGCATTTGTTTGTTGGTTCCTTGTAGGGGACAGTGCCAAACAGTTGGAATAGGTTAAGGGAAAGCAGAACATCTAGACTTTGTCACTATGTGATGTTAGACAACTCACCTAACATGTCAGTGGTTGTTTCCCTTCTGCAAAATGATAATTCGTTTTTTAAAACTCTTTGAAAGCCTCAGACGAAAAAGTATTAGCATACTGGAAAATAGTATTACATTATTTAAAAAGAGAACAGGAACTTGTGCTTGGACTGATAGCTTTTAAGAGTCTGGAGGTGAAGCAGAAAGACAGATGTTCTGCTGACAAGTCCAGTTAAACTGCAGCATGAAAATATCCACTGCCATGTAATTTAAAGCAAATTCCACCCACAAGCCACCTGACTGTACCACACTGTGATGACATCAAACATTACATCACTGGAACAAGTTTCACTTGGCTGAACACCTCACAGGTAGCATATTTTACCATTTGGGTACTATGAGTTGATTCAGCCTTTTACACACATCACGTTGTCCCTTGAGAAGGGGCCAATATTGATGGAAATTATACCTCTACATGTCATTCAGCACCAGTGCACACACCCAAAGAACACCAGTCTACCCAGCTGCACTGACACAGATTACTATCTCTTAGTATTTCATTTTCCATTCGAATTACAAAGTAACTTAATACTGTCTTTAGAGCCTAAAAAACACCTGCTTGCTGCACTTAACAGAAAAAATGTGGCTACTGAGTTCCTGAGTTAAGTCCTTTTTGTCTTGCTGTTTTCCATTGGCCATCATTAGGTTTCACAATTGGCATATCTGTAGCAGTGCAGGCTAATACCATTGTGGGACCATGAAGAAATGGGGCCTGGGTGTAAAATCTAAGACCTGCATTTACACTTAGTTAAACCTGTGTAATGCCAGCTCTCAGTGAGGACCAATTTCTTCCCCTGCTCATTATCATAGCAACACACCAGACATGTTTTCTCATTTTCCCGTTTGTATTATGTAGGAACATTGCGGGGGAGCGGGGGCGCGCAGGACATTGGGTGGTGTTTATTGTTGCTTTCAGGTTTCTTGGAGCACTCAGCCATATTATTTTAGAGGAACACACCATCCACAGCTTACCTTCCTAAGATCTTTCCTCAGCAGTTGCTTACAATGATTGTTTGAGCTGTTGCTTTTAGCTCCTGAATTCCATGACTTTGACAATGGTGGGGAAGATGATGTCCAGATTCTTGTGAACAAACAAGACTGGGACAAGGAACAGAATAAGCATCATGTGGATAAGGCAGCAAGGCCAGGGGCAAAACGCCAGGCTCGGCAGCTGACAGAAGAGGATCTTCCTGTAAATGACTATGTGAGTCCATGGGAATAATTACTGAGCAACTGTCAGTATCTAACAATGGGGCTGAATTTGTAAAGAAAGAATGTTAGACTATATAATATGGCCTGTTTGAAAACCTGTCTCTCACCTCCCTGCCTGACATAGGGCCCTGAACTATCTAAGAGAACAGTAAGCACTTCATTGAAAGACGAATCCCAATAAACAAGGATGAAATGAATTTGATGTGGAGCTGTCATACCAGTTGTTTAGCTACTGAAACGTAGTTAGCTCAGAGTAGATCATAATAGTTGGAATAATTCATCATTAACAAAATAGAGGTGTTGCTATCCTCTATCATATTTCTTAGTTTCATAGTTTCTAGAGTCGGAAGGGACCTGAGTAGA